GTTCCCTTTTTTTGATCATTAATTTCTTTAAGTATATATGAAGATCGTATTGTTATAATCATGACAATATAAAATATACTTACTCTGAGAGTATTCTCGGCTTCTGATTCCGTTTTCCCTGAATGTACCAATGCCCAAAAGCAAGTGTTGTATAAATTATTGATGTGACCTGCGAAAGGAGAACAAAAAAATTAAGCATCAATATCAATTTATAAATTAATAAAGCTTCATTAATCCACAGAAAACATACAATCCGCTTGTCGCCAACTCAAATAATCTCGTAAATTTTCATCAGAAGGATACAATACAACACGGCCATCAAATGATGGTGGATATAATAACTCCTTAGTGGGGAAATAATGTTTCCAATGGAATACGTAATTAGAAGAAAACAAGCTCACTATCGTTGTCAGTATTTTTCTATTTACAAAAAAGATATAATTGGTACCAGTTTCACAATTATAATACAATCACAAGTATATTAGTCGGGATCTTACGATTCACGACGTCCATATAAATTGCAACTCTTCCTTAGCACAAAACTTTCAAGATATTTTGAGTCGGTTATTTAATTTTGGCCGTCATAATAACAACATGTATATACCTATACTCATCACTTTCTCCATATCCCAATACAATATCATTGATCTCATTCATTACAGCTATAGCACATTGATTCATCAAATCTAATGCATTTTTATCATTTGGTTTCTCGAAATGATGAGCAGCGGAAAATCTATTTGATCAAACCAAGATAATTAGTGTCTTTAATAATCATAAAAAATATGTATGTACTGGAATTTTACTTGTGAAAGCTTTTTCCGTCTAAACGAACCACTAGCCAAGTGTTTAGTAATAAGGAATCATCTTTTTCAAACAACTTTACATATTCATATTTAGATTTCGCCATTAAGTCAACCAAATCTTCTAATATGGGGTTGACTAAAGCCTGGTAGACACGTGATTTTTCTGTGGTTGACGTCCGACATTGTCACGTGTTTTTAAATAAAGATTTTTTTTCAGCGCTGTTTAAGATATTCTTTAATTTGTTATTAAAAAATGCATAAAATTAAATGATATAAAGATTTCTCTGATTATTTATATTTATTAAAAAAAAATAATTAATTAAAATAATTAAAAATTATTATAAGTATTAGTTCAAGTATAAAAGAATTATAATAATAATAAACAAGCTTCTATTAAATATATATTATTTAAATTAAATTTTAAATAGACTATTATATATTTATTATTATTATTTTAATTAAGAATACTTATTAAAATTCATGAATTTTAATAAATAATATATTTTTTAATTTTAATATCAATTAATTATTTAAATTTTTATATATAAAGAATAATAATCTCTTATTCTTAATATATAAATTAAATTTAATTATAAAATTCTTATTAATAATAATTTTTATTAAAGAATATATTACTTTACTAAATATAATTAATCAAAAATATAAAAAAAATTCTTATTAATAATAATTTTTAT